CATTGCTTGGTGCACCTGCACGGCCATGTGAGGAGGAAGAGGAGGCACCTCCATTGCTCAGTACACCCTCACTGCTGGATGAGGAGGAAGAAGAGGCACCTCCATTGCTTGGCGCACCTGCACGGCCATGTGAGGAGGAAGAGGAGGCACCTCCATTGCTCGGTGCATCTGCACAGCCACATGAGGAGGGGGAGGAAGAAGGGGCACCTCCATTGCTTGGTGCACCTGCACGGCCATGTGAGGAGGAAGAGGAGGCACCTCCATTGCTCGGTGCATCTGCACAGCCACGTGAGGAGGGGGAGGAAGAAGGGGCACCTCCATTGCTTGGTGCATCTGCATGGCCATGTGAGGAGGGGGAGGAAGAGGAGGCACCTCCATTGCTCGGTGCACCTGCCCTGTTGGGTGAGGAGGAAGAAGAGGAGGAGGCATCTCCATCGCTTGGTGCACCCGCACTGTTGGGTGAGGAGGAGGCACCTCCATTGCTTGGTGTATCCTCACTGCCAGGTGAGGAGGAGGTACCTCCATTGCTCAGTGCACCTGCCCTGTTGGGTGAGGAGGAGGCACCTCCATCACTTGGTGCATCCTCACTGCCAGGTGAGGAGGAAGAAGAGGAAGCACCTCCACTGCTTGGTGCACCTGCCCTGCTGGGTGAGGAGGAAGAAGCACCTCCATCCCCCAGTGCAGCTGCACTGCCAGGTGAGGAAGAGGAGGAAGCACCTCCATTGCTCAGTGCACCTGCACTGCTGGGTGAGAAGGAGGAGGCAGCAGCACCTCCATCACCCCACAGCCCTGGGGCACCCATGCCACCAAGTGAGGAAGAGGAGGCAGCACCGTCATTGCCCAGCACGCCTGTGCTGCTAGAGGAGGAAGAGGAGGAAGCACCTCCATTGCCCTATGGCCCTGGGACACGTGTGCCACCAGGTGAGAAAGAAGAGGAGGAGGCACCTCCATCACCCCGTGGCCCTGGAACACCCATGCCACTGAGTGAGGAAGAAGAGGAGGCACCTTCATCACCCTGCAGCTCTGGGGCACTGACATCTTCAGATGAGGAAGAGGAGGAGGCACCTCCATTGCCCTGCAGCACTGGTGCACCCACATCACTAGACGAGGAAGAAGAGGAGGAGGCACCTCCATCACCATGCAGCTCTGGGGCGCCCACGTCACCAGGTGAGGAAGAAGAGGAGGCACCTCCATCACCCCGCAGTGCTGGAGCACCTATCCTTCTGAGTGAGGAAGAGGAGGAGGCACCTCCTTCACCCTGCAGCTCTGGGGCACCCACATCACCAGGTGAGGAAGAAGAGGAGGCACCTCCTTCACCCTGCAGCCCTGTGGCACCTACGCTGCTGGATGAGGAAGAGGCACCTCCATCACCCCACAGTGTTGAAGCACCCACGCTGTTGGGTGAGGAAGAAGAGGAGGCACCTTCATCACCCTGCAGATCTGTGGCACCCACATCATTGAGTGAGGAAGAGGAGGAGACACCTTCATCACCCTGCGGATCTGGGGTACCCACATCACTGAGTGAGGAAGAAGAGGAGGCACCTCCATCACCCCATGGCACTGGAGCACCCATGCTGCTGGGTGAGGAAGAGAAGGAGGAGGAGGCACCTCCATCACCCTGCAGATCTGGGGCACACACACCACCAGGCGAGGAAGAAGAGGCACCTCCTTCACCCCACAGCGCTGGAGCACCCATGTTGCTGGCATCTCCTTCACCCTGCCGATCTGGGGCACCCACATCACCAGACGAGGAAGAGGAGGAGGCGGCACCTCCATCACCCTGCAGCACTGGAGCACCCATGCTGCTGGATGAGGAAGAAGAGGAGGAGGCACCTCCATCACCCCGCAGCCCTGGGGCACCCACATCCTTGAGTGAGGAAGAGGCACCTCCATCACCCCACAGCCCTGGGGTGTCCATGCCACTGGGTGAGGAAGAAGAGGAGGCATCTCCATCACCCTGCCACCCTGAGGCACCTGCACCACTGGGTGAGAAAGAGGAGGAGGCACCTCCACCCTGTGGCCATGTGACACCTGCACCATTGGGTGAGGAGGAGGCAGCACCTCCATCACCCCATGTCCCTGAGACACCTGCTCCACTGGAGGAGGAGGCACCTCCATCACCCCGCATCCCTGAGGCACCTGGACTGTTGGGTGAGGAAGAGGAGGAGGAGGCACCTCCATCACCCCGCATCCCTGAGGCACCTGCACTGTTGGGTGAGGAGGAGGAGGCACCTCCATTGCCCTGCAGCCCTGTGCCATCACCCCACATCCCTGAGGCACCTGGACTGTTGGGTGAGGAAGAGGAGGAGGCGGCACCTCCATCACCCCGCATCCCTGAGGCACCTGCACTCCTGAGTGAGGAAGAGGAGGCACCTCCATTGCCCTGCAGCCCCGTGCCATCGCCCTACATCCCTGAGGCACCTGGACTGTTGGGTGAGGAAGAGGAGGAGGAGG